ATTATTATTATTATTATTATTATTATTATTATTATTATTATTATTACGAGGAGAGGTGGGGAATTGTACATGACGAGCAGATGGGCTTGAAGGGTGATGAGTGGGTTGTAGTGCTGGTGATAGTTGTTGATGAGATGGTGGTGATGAGCGGTTGGTTGGTTGTTCCCAGAATTGGGTGATTGAAATGAGTTGGGCGAACACGATGCTGAGTGGTGTGCGGATGGCGGATTTGATGTGTGTTTTGCGGGCACGTTGACACGTCAGAATCTGCTTGAATGCACGTCTGAATTCGCGACTGAATCGTGAGTATATGAAAGGATTCAGCATCGAGTTCAAGTGACCAGCCCAAGTGATGATCGAAAAGACCAATTCACGACTGCTCACGCACTGAAACATTTCAGTTCTATAGTTGTTTCTACTCTAATTTCGTTTCTAAGGTAAATGATATCGAAACTGCTTGTGAGCACCAGAAGGAACTGCTATCCGTAACTGTAGACATGGAATTTATCGCGATTAGTGCAAAAAGCTAGCATTAAAATGATGATAGTACTCAAAAGATAGTACTTAAGTGAAATGATTGAGCAAAGGGCCGATAGTGTAGTGGTGTAATGCTGGCTGGGCTTTGAGGATGCGATTGATCTGTTCAGAGGGAGGGCGTGAGTTGGATTCGATCGATGCAAAGTCTTTGACAAAGTTAGATCTATCTGATTAAAGAGATTAACAAAAGAATATATATCTGACTTGAAGAGATATTCAGAAAGGGCTTAATTTCTTAAGAATTAACAGGCAACTGACCTTTTGACAGAGTGTCATAATAGGTGAGAATATGAAGAACGGTGTCCAGCACACGATAAATACACCGACAACAATGGATAGGGTGCGTGCGGCACGTTGCTCATGCATATAGCGAATCATACGACGTGACTTCTCACGTACGCCTAACTTCATTTTATTGGAGGACGTTTGTCGTGATACTTGTTGTAGAGGCACTGATCTTGTGGCTGGTAGTAGTGGTGAGGATGGAGTTGCGATTGGATTTGCAGTTGGACGAGGTGATCTGACTGTTGCGTCGAGTTGAGCTGATTTTGAGAGTGGGCCAGATGAGAGCAATACTGATGACGAGCACGATCTTGATAGAACATTTGCATGAGTCAATGAACACGGAGGAATTTGGCTGGTATGGCTTGTGAGGGTTGTTTTATGAGGTGGGTTGTTAGTTTGATGATTGTGAGTGGGCCGTTGTAATTGATGATGAGCATGGATTGCACCGTAGCGTTTGCGATTGCTCGGTGAACTGGTCAGGAAGGAGTATTGAGATGTGGGATTGAAGCATTTCATTGAAGCATCGTTATGATTGGTGTTAGTGATGGGTGCTTTTAGAGTGGTGCTGTTAGAGTGGCGTTGTTTCGGAACTGAATCACATCCATTTGCTTGTTTTGAGGAGGTATTATTGTGACTGTTATGGTGATTGTTGATGTGACGTTTGCCGTCAATAGAGGAGCATTTGAAGTGAGAAGATAATATTTGTTGTGGTGCTGCGTTCAGACTGTTCGTTCGGCGCTTAAAATGAGCGGCGTTCTGATCGAATGAAGGTTCCGAGAGGGCTAGTGATGAGACCTTAAAATTGGATAGATTAATGATAGCGATGAGTGATAATAATGATAATAATAATTGACATTTGCATTTATTGAATTGATATTTGGCTACTACGTTTAATTATACGAAGTATTTACGACGACTAATTAATTACTCGGTTGTGTTCGGTTGGCCTGCTCGCCTAGCCAGCGGGTGGCGTGAATTGAGGCTAGAACAATAATCCAGGTAATAATAATGATAGCGATGGTGTTGTTTTTATGTAATCGGAGTTTGAAGCTTGAAGCTTGTTTCGTATCAATTTCTGCTATTGTGGTGCTGCTATGAATAATTAAAACTGCTCTAATGAGCCAGCTTATGTGCTGATAGACTTACTTACCCGTTTGATTGATGGATTTTTCGAGTTTTGAGTGGAATGCTTCGTTGTTTTACTTGTTGTTGTGATAATGAGACATGAAGATGGCTTATTAGTAGTGCTATTGCACTTGTAATTACTTAGAGTGATGCTGCTGCTGCTGCTGATCGATGAGCTTGTAGTGGCAGTCATATGATTTGTAGTGGAATGGGAAAGGAGAGGGTAGTGGTGGTGATCGTTTGAGGGGAGTTTGCTCTTGGTTTTATTATAGTAGTTGGTGGTGGACGTGGATAGAGACGAGACAGTGCTCGTTTTGCTGTATCGAACGTGCTTTTGAGTGGACTTCTTGCCGAAATGGATGCGGATCGTATCGTCAGCATTAGTCGCATAGCACCGTTGCGTATCCGATGATGCGCACTTGCGATTGCTTTTACGCAACTGAAATTTTGTGATGATCTGATCGAGACTGATAACGGAGATGATAACAGTGATAGGGAATAGAATTAGAGTAGTGATAATTGATAATGATAACAGTGATAAGGATTAGAGTGATAATTGATAATGATAACGGTGATAAGGATTAGAGCAGTGATAACATCTTAACGACTAGCCATTTTAACGCCACTTTTCATCATTTTCGTATGTCGTGTAGCGATCAGAAATACTTTACCGTACGCGAAAAGAATTATTATTAGTGGTATATAAAATGATACCATCGATGAGAAGAGGATATACATTCTGTTATCTGTGAATAGGCATTTGGTCTGAAAGGTTCTCGTAATTACTATTATTATTCTCTTATGGGTAATAATAATAATAATAATAATAATAATAATAATAATAATGATAATAGATTGAGGGATATAATCACCTGATCTAGATATAAGTGTGGTGAAGTTTTACGCCACCAAACAATAGCCGGAAAAGAGAGACCTGAAAATGGATGTAGCGAAAAGCGACTGAAATGAAATGCAAAGTATTCTAACTGACAAGCACTCAAAATCCAGACAGCGCAGATGGCGAGTGTGATGCGTTGCGTGGAGACTTTATCCCTGTATCCGATCGGATCATAGCCAGCCATATAACGGTCCAACGCGATCACACACAAATTCCATATGGAGCTGGTTGAGGCGAGTATGTCTAGTGCATGGAACACGTCACATACGGTCAGACCTGTAGTGATTTCAATCTGCATTTGCATTTGGATTTGGATTTGCATTTGGATTTTGATTTGGATTTGGATGATAATGCATAGCGAGCGCATCCCTCCCATTGATCCATGCCATTGACGTTATTTCACTCGGACAAATTTACGAATATCGAAACTCGGCCGACATTCGGCGGATTTCAAGTGAACAATTTGAAAGGGCTATTGAAATTGCGAATAATCTCGGAATCAATGCAAATTCACTCAATTCCACGCAATCAAATTGCAGCATTTTTAAACGCGTCCAGATACGACGAACCGAGTATCCACTTGTGTCGAGTCATCTCAAATAAACTATTCAACGGCATCACAACCAAACCAACAATCAAATCAGCCAACGCCAACGATACTATCAAATAACCAGTTGGATTCCTCAAATATCGTTTCGTGCAAACTGCGATCACCACAAGACAGTTGCCTTCAATTAATTTTAGTTATACACGAACAATTTGAATGATTTCTTTTAAAATATTTCTGAATTTAAAAGAATTTTTTAAATTATGAACGTAGTTGTCAAAAAAAAGACAGAACGGCATGAAATAAACCAATTAAGTTACTAACTAATTAAGTAAGTAACTAACCAGCAACGGTCAATAAGCAGAAAGTAGCTAAAAGAATCGCAATCGCGGGATGTATCCACTGGGTTAAGGATATCGGTGATAATGTCGGCTGAACAATCATATTCCTTCCCGATGAAGCTATTAATGATTATTCTGCTGCTGTAAGTAGTTGATAATAGGATGGATTTGTGAGGATAACGTTTGAGTTAACGTTATTTCGAGTGTTGTGACGTTCGTGTAAGCAATACGATTCGATCAACTTTTAATACACAACTGCAATCGAGTCAGTTGAAGAATACGTGTGGTAACATCTAGTTGATCGATGTGATCACAATGGTTGATCATTTGGTTGATCAGTTCGACGCTTTACTTATATGATCTATAGATCAGTTCGTATAATGCAATCATTTGATCTAGTGATCTTATTTGATCGTTTCACTGTCAATGGCTGTAGTATAAGTTGTGACTTCAGTCATTGTTTAGTGTTGTGTGTCTCGATTGGTGGTTTGTCTGTAATGGTGGTGATGATGATGCTGGCGGTTTGTTGAAACTTATTCAATAATCTTGTGTTGTGTGCTCATTCTGGTGCAAGATGGGGGCGGCGGTGATCAATCACGTCAACTGATCGCGATCACCTTTTGAAATTTGATCATTCGCATAAGACGCGAGCGACTGAGTGGATTCGGGCGAATCGAATGTACGACGACGATGCGATGCGATTTCAAATTTAGTGACTAATGACGGACGGTCAGCAGTTTTCTTTTAAAAATTTCTTTTTGATTTGGTGTCTCCATCTCAGAGGGCATGCATGAGATGGGTATCTATCAATCTATCTATTTATCTGTCTGCTTGTGCCGCATATTATTTGCGTTATTTCAGATAATAGGGCAACGGGGTGAAGTGGGGGACGTAATGTGCCGAGCCAGTGAGGGCTTTGTTGAATTAGACGGCTTAGATAAGCTTGACGGTTGCATGAGCCACCTATAATCATTATACCCGTTGATTGCACTTGATCCATTGCTTATTCATTCCTTTATTTTCTGTCTTCACGTTTATACTCAAAAAAAGAAATTCCAAAAATATTCCTCGGATCGCGACACGAATTTGGACGGCAGCCCTTTGCAAAGATCATCAAATTAAATGAAGAAACACAAGCAAAAATGATCCGAACGAAATTCGAACGATCCGATCGATCGATCGATTTTTCAGTGAATCAATTCGTGTGTTCAAATACCAAATCGAATTTCAAAACAATCACACAAAAGAATTCAATCAGCGTTCAATGCCCTTTCTCAAGCTGAAAGCATTCAAAAGAAAGCTTCAACGCTCAAATGGCATTCATCTGCTATTCATTCATCTCATTATTTTCTTATTTCCACTCGTCTCAACAAATCAACGAATAAGCCACTAAATAGTAACAATGTGAATTAATGAAAAATTAAAAGAATTCATTGCTGCATCAAATGATAATGAGACTGGCAATTTGCTTGCTTAGAAGGCGAATCTGACGATGAGAGCAACACAATTTAAGCTTAGAAGTGCATTTGTTAAAGATACTATTTAGCTAAATTGAATTCAATTGAGTTACATTTCAAAAAAGTATTACTGCTGCATACAGATCAGATAAGGGAATAAAGAAACATTGTTAAATAAATAAAATTACGAATTGCCTTAAAGGATGATCTAGAAGGTTTGCATTGATCAGATCAGATCAGATCAAATAAAACATAATTAGATTTCGTTCGAATTGAGTTTGTGAAGAGAACATAGTGCATTTGATATGGTAGTGCAGTAGCAGTAGCAGGTAGATAGAGAGCTGCTTGATTAGATGTAAGCTTGATGCATTGTTGGACTTGAAAGCTCGATCAGGCTTTCGTCTGAGCAACAAATAACTGAAACGAGTAAGTAGGTTCTGATGCCTAGCTTCTGATGATGGCTAAATTGCATGCACCTAAATTGTATCATGCATACGTGAAAATTTAGTTGTTGGCCTATAAGATGACAGAGTTATTGGCTGCTTAAATGACGAATAGACTGTAGAGATATAGTAAAGTAAGGTTTGACTTCTGAATTGAGCACTGGATCTGAATCTGAGCGAGAGCAACGAATAAAAACAAATTGAAAATTACTCTTCATATTATTGAGTTTGCTGAATGAACAAATGAGTATATAGCATAGCTATTTACAGGAAATGTGAGCAGTGGATATGATGATTATAATGTGAAGTAATGTGATAGGGTATGGTATGAGTGAATTTATAAGATAAGAGAATGTTGTTGTAGTGCTCATTGAGAGCAGATTAATTGCTGCCGAATGAATGGATAATGAGTTGGATTTGGACGGCATTCATGAGGATTGATCTCTGTCATAGACTAGAGGATCGAATTAGATTTAGTTGTATAGGTGTGAAATGTGGCGAGGTTAGAAGGTAATAATTATAGAGTTAGCAGAAGCTTAGACTTGGGTTGGTTTCGAATGGAGAGGAGAGGGAGAGGCAGCCGAGTGTAGAGGGTGAGGAAATGACTGATGAATAAAATAACTTGGGACGTGGATTAATTAATTTGAAATGAAAATGATTATTATTATTATTATTATTATTATTATTATTACTATTATAATAGTAATGATTGTTGTGCTTTCGGAAGTAGTTTAATATAATTGTGATTGTTGCTTGGAGAGAGTGTTTGGTTGAAAAAACAGGAAACACGGTGGGATGTAATTATGGTTGGTGTGAATTGTTAAGTGTTCACTTTAAGAATTAATTCAAGAATAGCGCTAGTAGCAGTAGGAGTAAATTAATAAATGAGTAGATGATTTTGTAGTTTGGTACATAATTAAATCAACTTTAATTAAGTAATAGCAGCAGCAGCAGCAGCAGGCAGTAGTTTGCTTCGGATCATGCATATGAACTGATAACTTATTGTTTTGGAACTGATAACGAAGATTATCAGTTTAGTGTGATAAGCAAGCTTGGGATCACATTTAGATAGCAGCAGCAGCCTCATTAATCCGTGAATGATAGAATTTGGAGTAGTGGATGTTGATGGGTTGATTGGATGAAATAAACATGCGTTTGAAGTGGTGGCTGTCTGTGTGCGATCTGTTTATGCTTATTATTACTATTATTACTATTATTATTACTATTACTATTGTTATTATACCTAGTACTGTTAAAATAATTGAAGTTAATGAGTTAATTTAAGGCATGCAAATGTAAAAATTGCTATTGTATAACATAACAAGCATCGCTATTGTAATAACGCACTACGAGGCAATTACAATTAGAGTTTAAAGCTTATTCTTCTATATAGAAATACAAGCAAGCGTTAGTTGTTGAATATAATTGTTATTGATGATTTTGGAAGCGTGAAAATTATGATAGATGATAGTTATAAAGAACGAAAATCAAGGCGAGCAGTAGCAGCAGCAGCAGCAATCTCTTGGGAGTTGAGCGATAAATATGGCATATATTATAGCCCATTGTTAACCTGATAAATAAGTATAAGCCTAAGGCGAAGCCGAAGCCGAATAGTAAGAAGTTGATATTATTTGGAGAAAAATATTACTTGTTTAGATTGGTAGGACGGGTTTCATCAGGGGTAGCCTAGAGTAGGAATTGTAAGAGTAATGAGACGATAAGTAGAGAGAATAAAGTTAAAAGGTAAATGAAAGTTTGGAATGATGTAAACGAGTGAGTGTATTGAGGATTTAGCAATTATGCATTTAGTTGATTTGAGTGTAGTTGAGTGGTGGTGTTCAGTGGAGTGGTAAGTAATTGATGTTTTAGTGAAAGGGTTCACGAGATTATTCTCGTTGGACTGGATTGGATTGGATTTACGGCGATATAGCTATTGATGGGACATGGAATAAATAATGCACATTGAAGAGCACTGAAACGGATTAAGAGAGTAACATCTAAAAAAGTTTTTGCGCTTGATAGCATCACTAACGATAAATTAAGTTGGCATTGAATATTTTTTGACGCTATTCTTTTTGGAATGCCTTTAAAAGATTACTCTCTTTTACGTCATGCAGAATGTTGTGCATAGAGATAAGTTTGAGTTTAATTTTATTTTATTTTAGTTGATTAAGTTCATCTTCATCTTATTCATCTCCTTATCCGTCTAGTCATGAATAATTACGTTGTTGAACTTGAGCAGTAGCAGTGGCTGTTGGCTACTGAACTGGATAGATGGATGGATGGATGGAGTGCGCATGGCATGCAGTAGCTTTATCTGAAGATGTGATTAATATAGATACGTGTACTTGACGTTTTGATAATTATGCATGGATGACGATGATACTGAATAGGGTGTTTTGGTTGGGTTTGTGAGGTAGGTGATTATTGGGACGGGACGTGACGTGACGTAGCAAGCTTTGGACAGTAGCAGCAGGAATCTGATTGTTTTGAGATGAAGTGGGTGGATTGGTGGATTGATTGTTACTTTTTATGCAAACTATTGCTTGTTTTCAAAATATTGCTCCCCAAGCAGCAGCAGCAGCAGCAGCCAATCGAACTCAGTTTATTTGCTGTTAGCGAGGAATAGTAATAGACTAACTGACTGTATCAATGAAGAAATTCAATAGATAGCTAGCTATTAAATAGATTGCTGAATTGCGCTTAGAATGACGGACGGACGGCTCTTAGACATTCAATGGGATCAATGGCTGCTGGATATGGATATGAGCAAGAGGGCAGTACAGCTTCAACTTTTGGGCGATGGTTAAAAAAATGGAACTATTTATTTTCAGTAAAGGGTAATGAATATTAAGAATGAGATAAAAGTAAGAGTGTTCTAGTAAAGCAATTAGATGAGGACAATTGGTGTGGTAGGTGAATTGGGTGTTTGTTTAAGGGGACAATCATTAGAAGTGCACTAGCTGATGCAGTTTGAGTGGTAAAGCATGTGTGTAATTCATTTGATTTTACAGTGTGAGAATGATAATGCGACTGATAATGGTGATAACGTAGAATAGAAATGAAATGAAATGCTTGTTAATATAAAAGGTATTGACGACGACTGCAGACAGCATTCTGATAAGAGGTTTGGTGAGGACGATTGAGGAAAGAGCGAGTATTATAGGAAGTAGTAATTGGGACTAATGAATTTAATTGTGAAT